AAGCAATAGCCTGCTCTGCCATCGCTGACCCAGGTCACTCTGCTTTGCTGCAGTGGTGGGAAGTGGAGTGATCCGGCCCCCCGGCCTGCTCTGCTCTCCTGCACAACGTGGGTTTCTGGGAGAGGGCGGCAGAGCAAAGCAGGCTGTCAGGTCACTCTGCTTCCCGAGGCTCCTGCTGCCACGATGCGGGCCGGCTGGCCTGACCCCTGCTGCCTCCCCATGCCAGGCCCTCCTAGTCATCCTCCAGGTTGCGTTGATTGGGGAGGGGATGGTTGGGAAAAGGTGCACAGGGTAGAAAGGAGCTGGGCAGGGCTTGGGAAAAGGGCAGAGGGAAGGTGGAGTAGGGTTGGGGGTTGGGCCCCACACTCCCCGAGGGCCTGCCTATCAAACGCTCTCTGGGAAACTCCCACGTGAGCATCGATTGTTTGGATACAGTGATCGGCTTCAACAACCCTCTAGATGAAGTTTTCCAAGGAATCCGGACCACGCTGCAGCAGAGACCTGTCCTTTTTGTTATGGCCCACTCGGTGTGTCATCTGCAAATTTCATCCGTGACGCTGTTGTATCCATCCAGCTTAGTGATAAATATTAAATAGCATGGGGGAGGAACCAGTCCCTGTGGGAAACTCTCTCTCTCTCTCACACACACGATTCCCCTCTTATGGTTACACTTTGAGAGCTGTCAGTAAGCCAGTTTTTAATCCACTTACTCTGTGACTTAGAGCAGGCTTAGTTTTTAATCAAAATGTCACATGGTATCAAGTCAGCCTCTGGCTCATTATGTGGATCTTCCTATCGATCCTTTCTGCTTCTAATGCTTGCAGCTGATCCCAAGCTGGGAGGGTGGCAAGAGTTTTGAAGGATAGTGCTATAATATAACGTGATCTGGACACACTAGAGAAATGGTCTGAGGTAAATAGGATGAAGTTCAATAAGGACAAATGCAAAGTGCTCCACTTAGGAAGGAACAAGCAGTTTCACACACAGCATGGGAAGCGACTGTCTAGGAAGGAGCACTGCTGAAAGGGATCCAGGGGGCACAGTGGCCCACAAGATGAATATGAGTCAATAGTGTGACCGTTGCAAACCCCCTCCCCCAAACAAACAAATCCCCCCAAAACAAACATCATTCTGGGCTGTATTAACAGGAGTGTTGCAAGCAAGACCTGTGATGTTCTGCCGCTCCACTTGGTGCTGATTAGGCTTCAACTGGAGTATTGTGTCCGGTTCTGGGCACCACATCTCAGGAAAGCTGTGGAGCAACCGGGGAAGTAGACTTGGAGAAAAGCAACAAAAATAATTAAAGGTCTAGAAAACATGAGCTATGAGGGAAGACAATGAACTGTGCTTTAGTTTAGAAAAGAGAAGACTGAAGGGGGACATGACAGCAGCTTTCAGGTATCTAAAAGAGGTCAAGGAGAACAATTTTTATCCTGCCTCCTGTGACATCCTAAGGATAGGACAAGAAGCAATGGGCTTAAATTGCAGCAAGGGAGGAAAAACTCCCTGTCAGGGTGATTAAACACTGGAATAAATTGCCGAGGGGTGGTGTGGAATCTCCATCATTGGAGATATTAAAGAGAGGTTAGACAAACGCCCGTCAGGGAGGAACGGTACTTGGTCCTACCGTGAGGGAGGGGAAAGGGAGGAACGGTACTTGGTCCTACCGTGAGGGAAGGGACTGGATTTGATGAGCTCTCAAAGTCCCTTCCAGTCCTAGTGTTCTGTGACTCTAGCTTCTGAAATGCACTGCGAATGAGACAACGCTCATGCCACGCAGATGGCCCTGTGGCACCAAGGTGTCTTGACTGTGCCAGGCAGATGCAGTAGAAATGGGTGTTACCTACCTTGGAACTCAGCGGGGGAGCCGGAGGAAGAGACTGAGTCCTCAGTCCCTGACACAAACCAGCTGGTTCCTGGGAGAAAGACGCAACCAAAGCAGGCTCCTCCAGCAGGCACCAAGTGAGCCCTCCCGCCTGGAAGGACAGTTCTGGTCTTTTGAACTTCTCCAACATCAAAGCTGAGGAGACATTCTTGGGAGGCAGGCTGGCACGTTGCACTCCCGCTGCTCATCTCCCAGAACATGCCAGGGAAGGGGAAGAGGCCTCACAGAAGTGCAGGGCTGGGCTGATGTTTTCCTTTCCCTCTCTCTGCGAGCACAGGGGAAACGGGAATCCAGAAGAAAAGGCCGAAGAACCCAGCAGGCACTTCCCCTTGGAGATCTTACTCTTCTACCCTTTGCAGACGATTCAGTCAAGTGAGATAGGCCCAGTAACCCCAGTGAGGGCCCACTGGGCAGTGTTGGTAGCCCTGACAGGCTGATGGACGGACATGACTCCCATGGGGTTCCGGCATCTGAGTCACTAACAAGATGCCACCCTCTGAGTTCAAGCCTAACAGGAAGGCTCTGTTCAGTGGTGCCACACACCGCGCAGCACGAGATGCAGGCTGCCTTCTGGCTGGTGCCAAAAAAAAAAAAAAAATCTGGCCTAAGATTTCCACAATGTCAGGGTACTGAATGCATCCAAGGTCATGGGGAGAATTTAAATTGCCTGGCACCCTGCGCTCCATTTTAAAGAGGATGGAGAAACTTCAGGTAGAAGAACCCAAAGGAATCTCCTCTTTACGGGTATGACTTTGATGGAGCGCCTCCTGCTAACCATGATATTGATTAGTCCCTAGCATAGTTCTACTATAGCAGCTCCTCTGAGAACGAAGGAAAATTCAGAGCCACTGAGGTCTAAGACAAGGAGGTGGATGATGAGGCTTCCAGCTGGGGTCTGAGCGAGGCAAAGCCAAGGCCTCCTGCACAAGAACGGTCTGCAGCCCAGCCTTTGAGTTTTTATGGCCAGAGACGTTTGGTCGATTCTTAGACACTTAGTTCTTTTGGAACTATATTGGAGGCAAAGGTGTCTAATGGACACCATCAGCACCAAGAGGAGCACCAGTTGGAACCACAATGGCAGCGCTGAAAAAGCGGCTCCATTAGAACAGAAGTGTTTTTACCTGATTAAAAAATCCTAAACCGAAACTCTTTTTCTCAAAATAGAAACCCTCAGCTAGAGTAGCGTTCCTTGCTGCTGCAGCAGGGAGGGGAACTAGGCACTGCTAGGGAGAGTGAGATTATTCCTACCCTTGGCTCCAGGTGAAAAGGACTAGAACATCAGGCACGTGTCCCCAGCTATCAACACTAAAAAGAGTCACTGACCACAGCACACAACTGAGAGTGGTGCTCAGTGTAGACACAAATACAGGAGAATCTTAGTGATAATTTTCCTATGCTGTAATTTAAAGGGCATTATTAAATATTAACAGGAAAAAGAGATTCATATTTAAACCTTCCCAAAATGTCCCTCTGTGCTCTTGTATCTTTTTGCTCTCTTGGTGGGTGGGATTGCAAAAATCAACAGTACAGTATGGGACTGGAAGGCTATGTCTACACTGCAGGCTTTTTACACAAGAACAATTGTTCTTGCGCAAAAACTTGAGGAGCATCTACACTGCACGTGCATTCTTGCGCAAGTACATTTTCAGTAAAGCGTCGGAAAAGAGGGCTTCTTGTGCACGAGTTATTCCTCTCCCCCTTGAGGAGTAAGCCCTCTTGCGCAAGAGCTCTTGCACAAGAAAGCAGTGTGGACGGGCAACGGGGGTTTCTTGCACAAGAAACCCCTATGGCTAAAATGGCCATCAGAGCTTTCTTGCACAAGAGAGTGTCCACACTGCCATGAACGCTCTTGTACAAAAGCACATGACAGTGTGGATGCACTCTTGTGCAAGACCTTTTGCACAAGAACTCTTGCACAAAACAGTTCTTGTGCAAGAAGCCTGCAGTGTAGACGTAGCCTAAAAGTTTAAGTAATAGAAGCCACAACATCTGGGGCTCGTACAACTGCACATCCTTTAATGTAATCTATGCCATCAAGTGCCAGCAATGCCCCTCTGCCATGGATATTGTCCAAACTGGGCAGTGTCTGTGACAAAGGATAAATGGACACAAATCAGACACCAGAAACAGTAACACACACAAACCTGTAGGGGAACATTTTAACCTCCCTGGCCAGTCGAAAAAGTATCCTTTCTTCTACAAAGGAATGTCACCATCCAATTAAAGAGACAGACTGCTGAACTGGAGTTCATTGCATGTTTGACGCTGTCTGCATAGCCTTGAATAAAGACATGAATTAGTTAACACACTATAAAATTTCCCATGTCGTTGACATTCTCATTTCACATCAATAGCTATGAATGGGACACATCCAGCCTACTTAACTTATTAACTCAGGTCCTACAATTGACAGTCACTTCTCCTATTGTTATACACATCTTAGTTTCTGTTATTTCCACTCCAGTTCATCTGATGAAGTGGGTTTTGCCCATGAAAACTCAGGATTCTATATATTTTGGTTAGTCTCTAAGGTGCCACAGGACCACTCGTTTTTAATAGAACTAGAGATAGCAATGAAAATGCTGCATGAAAGTTTAAATACTTTTGTATCTGAAAACATTAGATTTTTATAAACAAAGTAAACATGTTGAAACATGTGACAGTGGCTTTGTTCTTTCATTGCAGATCATTTGAAGAGGACTATGAAACAGATGAACTTTTAACTCTCCCTGAAACTGGAGACAAGTCAGACAAACTAGTTATCTCGGATCTTTCTTCATAGATAAAAGGAAGATATGTAACTAGTATCTTCAGTATTTAAATGGAGAGTCCTTAGACATTTAGGGATTTTTTTTTAAAAATCCTTCCTTGAGGCAAAGTGCTTTATTTTATACACTGTAATTCAGGATCCCTTTTTTCTTTCATGTGTAACTGCCAGATAATTTCTATAAAAAGGCTTTTGCAAATTGTTATTGTGCATACTTATTAAATATGGCGACTGCACTTTGTTTCCTTTTTCTCTTGACATACAAATTCTATAAAATCTCCATGTGCAATAATGGTCAATCAGCTAATGCTTAAACATCATAAAACTGCATGTAACTTCAACAATAGTCATTACCAAATTAATTCAAGGCAGTTATTTCTGCATTAGTTACTCTGTGCTGTTTAATTTACCAGTCTGCCAAATTAACTCTGTTTAAATGAACATCTAAAAAGATTTCCATCAAATCTCAGCTACAATTAAGTTCTTTTTTTTAATCAAAATATCCTGTTCATTCTAGAAAGAAGCAATATTCCCAAACACTTATTTGTTAAGCATGCTTTATTCACCCTACAGGGCAATGCAGAGACACCGCTACCCAAAAACAAAACAATTAAGATGGAATGCAGGTTTAAGCACTTTTATATTTTCTCTCACGGATGGCAGGAACTTGCTGCAAATACTTAGGATGCCACCATATTGTCCTCTCGCAATTCTGCTCTATTGTAATGCCTACAGAACAACTCAACAATTCGGGCATTGATGTAGTATGAGAGCTGCTTCTTGGGCTTACCAGAATTAGCACCATTTCCTTGTGCTTCCCCTATCTGTTGTATCCATCTGTTATCTATAATCTTAGCCTTTAACGTGTTTAGCTCTGTGAGGCGCAGGCCTTAAGATACTACTGCAATACCAATTAATTAATTAAGAGTATAATACTCATAAAAGGTTGAGTGTACTTTTTAGGTAACAACATTGCAGGGCTGTTCTAATGGGCCCCAGAGCATGCTTTACAACCTGAAGAAATTCAGAGTTAAGGCTAACCTTAAAATATCCAAGCATATAAGGTATGAAAATGTACAGTAAATGCACCCAAACACCCTTCACTCTGCCCTATAGTGACACTATGCAACACCCATTTATTAATGATCTATTATCCCAAATTACTGATTTTTAAGAACAACTGATCCCGCCCCTCCCCCCCCCGCACCCCAACCATGTTACAGGGAAAGTTAAGCTTGTTGGATGCCTTAACCTTGTAGTCCCATTCCTTTGGTGTGGCTTTCTTTTACATTCTTTTCTCCAAATGTCCACAATTTACCACATTTATTTTTGTGCTAATTATATCATTCCCTTTACAGGTGCTTGTTGTAAATTATCAGTGTAGTTACTTAACCTGAACAACCACCTTCATGCATTTGTTTGATGGGCATTTCCTTAAAACCATCTTACACGGACAGTAAAAAAGAAACCCAAAGAGAATGGTTCCATTTGGTATCCAATAGCGTCTAATGCAGTGAAGCCATGCCGGGTCAACCTTCATGTGAAGGTAAAGGCTGCTTCATGCTGCGGAGGAACAGTTCAGAGCAGTCTGGGGTTTGTTAGTTTTACAGCTGCCTTGTAGCATCTAAGCATCACAAAGCAGCCAGCTTGCACATCCAGTAGTTTCCTCCCTCCCGTGCTTCACCTGCTCCTGATACCCACACCTCACAGGCCATCCTGCCCTATCCCTTTTGTGCAGTTTTCCCTTCTTCTTTAGCTCCCTCCCTTCCGCCGTGTACACATAGCCTCCCTTCCCCTCCGCCTGTCGCCTTGTTGGACAGATCTAGTGAAACAGGCAATTTTTTTAAAAGAACTATTCCAGATTAAGGGTAACTGTTTTAAACTATAAATCTTCATCACTGAGCTTTTTTCTTCAGCCGAGCCTGGTGTCTCAAATCTTATCTGGGAAGCCTTTCAGGCAGGGCGCAATTTGGGTCAGCGCACAGCCCTGGTACCTCTAGACATGGCAGTTCATAGCCCCGGCTTGCTGTGTCAGGGATGAAAATAAAATAAATTGCTTGAGCCACAACACCTCTTTCATAAGCCCTGCTCTCAAAACACTTCCCTCTTCTCAAACGGCCACCGTCTCGTTTGGCTCCCAAAAGGGACTGAGGCCATACGCTGCCCTTAACTGAGATGGCGATCGGTTTCTGTTTGGCCCATGGGGAATGAAGTCAAATTGCCCTCAGGGAATATGGTGCTGGTTTGCAGTACAGGAGGTAGAGCAGAGCCAATGAATGAATGTGATGAGTATCTGGGCTAAGGAAAGATGTGGTCTCAGTGCCCTGAGAACATGAGCTGGCTGAAGGAAAAACTGTCGATGGTGAAGAAAAACAGAAAGCAATGATGGCTAAGCCTGCCTGTCTTCACACTGGAGCGACACAGGATTTACCTCTCTGCCAGTTCCAGTGCAGATAATGACTGAGCTCAAATCATCAGGGACCAGAGAGAGGCCTGGCACAGGAAGCTAAGTTCATATTAAAAATGGGTCTTTCAACTAATAAATTAATGTACTGATCACGTCACTTGAAAAATGTATTCGGTGCCCAAAAAAGTATATGATTCTAGAGGAGGGGATGAACTCCACTCAGCCTTCACCATCACTTCATGCTCTATAATAAATAATAATACGGTGACATGCATGGTCTGAGCTGCTCACAAGTGTATCTTACCACTGCTAGTAAGATTTTTGTGCTGCAAGGGGACTGCAATGCACAGTACTATGATTTGCAAATTGTTAGGGGACCATCCATGGACAGTATACAGATAACCATGGGTCTGTCTATTTGTGGTAGATTTCAGCTAGCCAACCAGAAGTGATTCTTCTTTCTTCAAATGCCATAATCACACCTAATTATAGTCAGTTGGCTTTTCTGTAGTGCTTTTTGCATCTACACCACTTCACAAACAGTAGATGATTAATTCTCAGAACATCCCTCTGTAGTTAGGTCCACTTTACAGAAGGGGGAACAGACACAGACTGGTTTAACAACTTGGAATGGAATTCATTTAACCCTTCTGCCAGGTGGAATCAGCAGCAACCAGTGCCAGGTTCAATATTTAGGCGGTTCCCTTTAACAATACAACACTGAACTGATTGAGCCTCACGCCTCCCTGCCCTCCAGTAACCTAGGAAAACAACACACCCTGCCCGAGGCATCTCTAAGGGACAATACTTCCCCCCTCATGGAGAGAGAGGCTGAGTGTAGAAAATAAACTTTAAGGGCATGTCTAGACTTGCTTTCACTTTCGAAATTTGATATGCAAATTTGGTGCTAGTTTGCATAGTCTTCTGATCGCTTTTTTGAAAGTGAAAGCAGTTTAGATAGTTTTTTTTTTAAAAGACTCCCCCCACTTGTTCGAAAGAACCCTGTACACCTCATTTTTTTTTTTTTAAGGAAGAAGGGTTCTTTCGGAAAAAAAAAAGTCTAAACTGCTTTCACTTTCGGAAAAAACGCTTTCAAAAAAAAAATCAGAAGAATATATGCAAATTAGTGCTGAATTTATATATCTCCTTTCGAAAAAAGAAAGTCTAGAGCATGGGTTCCCAAACTTCCAGGGGGGGCATGAGGCGACCCAGCCACCGCCTCCCCGGTCAATCCCACCCCAAGTTTTGCTGCTATTTTTTTGGGAGGAGGGGGCGTGAGGGTTTCTCAAAAATCAAAAAGGGGGCATAAAGTTTGGGAACCACTGCTCTAGATGTACCCTAAATGAAAGGAGGGATGTCACCTGGCTTTAAGTAGGAAAAATGCTGCAAGCAAAATTCATGACCATAAAACTAAGTTCTTGTATTCTACAACTCAGAGGTCCTTTACCAGGTGCCCTTCTGCTCCCTCACCACATCCCAATCACAGTGATTGTCCTTGGTCAGTGAAGACCTAGAATACAGCAGTGCAGCTTTGAGTTCACCTCCCTCCCAGGAGTGAGAAGGAGTCACCATGTATGATCTATCCACGTACCTGTTCTGAGGCTGCTGCTGCACCAGTCACCCACCATGCGGCTCACCAGCTGCCTCACGGCTCCGCCCGCCACAGTGCCAGCTGTTCCAGTGCATAATGTCATCTTCTGCTGCTTCCTGCTTCCTTACTGTGACCTCCGCACGTCAGGCTCTTGAGGTTCCATGCTGCTATTTGTGATTTTTAGCTCTGGGGTGGGAGGAAGGGCAAGAGAACGTCATTGCTGAAGCAGGCGGGGAAGAAATGCTGTTCCACAGGTGATTTCAGTTCTAGTGATCACTTAACAAAAGACTGTTAATGGAGCTTAATTAGTTCCAACTTTGAATAATGGGGCAGGTTAAATCGTGCCTAAGGGCTTGTCATCACTATACCAGGAATCCGTGCTGCAGTTATCGATTCACTAGCTGCTGATGTATCGTGTCTGCTTAGATACCATAAATCGATCTCCCAGGAGTCTCCTGTGGAGGCCAGTACTCAGCCAGGATGAGATGAGTAGCCAGAGTCAAGGGGAGAGCAGGCCCACCAACCTTACTGCCCACAAAACTGCCAAGTGTGTAAATGATGTTACAGAAATTAGGTTGACGGCCGGGGTTAGTGTTGACAAGGCCTTAGACTAAGTCCCCTTCCCCTCTTCTCCTTCATGGGGTGTGGCATGCAAGCTCTCTGCTCATTTTGTCATCTCCCCTCCATCAGGACAAGCTAAGTCCAGTCCCATAGCCTTATACTCAGTGACCTGTAATCGAACCCCACCCAAAGTGAGGACGACCGAAATTGCTAAGTTAAACATTCCATTAAAATGGAATGAGGTTTAACAGTTAATTCAAACTAAGGGGTTTATCTAGGAATCGCGCTTCTCTGCCGCATGTAGACACAGGCAGTTACTTCGGGCTAGTCAGTTTCCAAAATGACGACTAGCTGGGAATATGCTAATCAAGCACAGGATATTTAGAGGGTAGGTTTAGAAGATAAAATAAAAAAAGAACAAGTTTAAAATCACCTAGAAAAGTTAGATGCCTGCAAGTCACCAGGGCCTGATAAAATGCAGCCTAGAATACTCAAGGAGCTGCTAGAGGAGGTATCTGAGCCTCTAGCTATCATCTTTGGAAAATCATGGGTGACTGGAGAGATTCCAGAAGACTGGAAAAGGGCAAATATAGTGCCCATTTATAAAAAGGGAAATAAGAACAACCCAGGAAACTACAGACCAGTTAATTTAACTTCTGTGCCAGAGAAGATAATGGAGCAAGTAATTAAGGAAATCATCTGTAAACACTTGGAAAGTGGCAAGGTGATAGGTAACAGCCAGCATGGATTTGTAAAGAACAAATCATGTCAAACCAATCTGATAGCTTTCTTTGATACGATAACGAGCCTTGTGGATAAGGGAGAAGTGGTGGATGTGGTATACCTAGACTTTAGTAAGGCGTTTGATACGGTCTCTCATGATATTCTTATCAATAAACTAGGCAAATATAACTTAGATGGGGCTACTATAAGGAAGGAACAATAAGTTTCACACATACAGAATGGGAAGTGACTGTCTAGGAAGGAGTACGGCAGAAAGGGATCTAGGGGTTATAGTGGACCACAAGCTTAATATGAGTCAGCAGTGTGATGCTGCTGCAAAAAAAGCAAACATGATTCTGGGATGCATTAACAGGTGTGTTGTGAGCAAGACATGAGAAGTCATTCTTCCGCTCTATTCTGCGCTGGTGAGGCCTCAGTTGGAGTATTGTGTCCAGTTCTGAGCACCACATTTCAAGAAAGATGTGGAGAAATTGGAGAGGATCCAGAGAAGAGCAACAAGAATGATGAAAGGTATAGAGAACATGACCTATGAGGGAAGGCTGAAAGAATTGGGTTTGTTTAGTTTAGAAAAGAGAAGATTGAGGGGGGACATGATAGCCGTTTTCAGGTATCTAAAAGCATGTTATAAGGAGGAGGGAGAAAACTTGTTCATCTTGGCCTCTGGGGATAGAACAAGCAGCAATGGGCTTAAACTGCAGCAAGGGAGGTTTAGGTTGGAGATTAGGAAAAAGTTCCTAACTGTCAGGGTAGTCAAACACTGGAATAAATGGCCCAGAGAGGTTGTGGAATCTCCATCTCTGGAGATATTTAAGAGTAGGTTAGATAAATGTCTATCAGGGATGGTCTAGACAGTATTTGGTCCTGCCATGGGGGAGGGGACTGGACTCGATGAACTCTCGAGGTCCCTTTCAGTCCTAGTATTCTACGATTCTATATTTAAATCCAGCGCTTCATTAGCAATTTCGGTCAGCTTTATTAGCCTCCCTAGTTGAAACTAGGGGGCTAGTGTAGACATACCCTTAGTCTAGGGAGATTTAAACTGTATCCTTTGTACTGATACAAGTGTAGATTTCTTAACACTCAGCTACTGGTCCCAACTCTTGGAAGACAGCAAAGGCCTTCTGGGTTAAAAACAGTCTCAAAGGAACAGCTATTGAGCAATGGGAAGACAGGAATCACATCCTGCAAAAGGTAAGCTGCCACTACTGCTAGAACCTTTGAAAGCACCTTTGTGGCCAAGATGTGTCAAAGGAAAGCACTTGGTACTGGAAATGATCTTGGCCTATACTGAATTGTAGGTATTTTTGTGTATGGTGTGTGTGTGTGTGTGTGTGTAGTTATACAGAAATAGGAATCTTGTAGGTTTAGACATTAAAAATAATCCCTTTCTTCTAGTAAAGGAATTATAGTTGCTTGAGTTACCATCCTGAACTTCTGAGATTTCACAAACTTGTTCAGTTTAGATCTAAAAATTAGCCTCCATCTTCCATCCTCCTTTGGCACTAGGAAGTATTTTGAGTAGAACCCCTATTCCTGTAAGGAGAAGGAACCAGCTCTACTGTTCTTACAAGGGGAAGAAACACCACTTCTTGTCTTAGTAGATGCTTGTGAGACAAGTCCCTGAAGAGAGACCAGGGTGGAATCTGTTCTATAAAAATCATCAGTTTGTTGTAATTAGGGCGAGTCTAAACTAGAAATGCCACACTGCTGCAGCTGCAGCACTGTAGTACATCTGCTGAAGACACTTATGCTAATCAGGGAACTCTCCCATTGGTGTAATAAATCCACACCCTCAAGAGATAGTAGCTACATTGACAGGCAGAGCACCATCCACACCCCAGTGCTTAGGTTGCTGAAATATACGTTGCTTGTGAGGAGGAGATGGCTTATTCGCAGACATACAGGTAGGGTAGATGTGGCCTCTGTAAAATTTTATTTGGCCATGACTGCCTGATCATGATCTGGAATTGAAGAGTTGGGAACTAGTAATATTTGTGTCCAAAAATGTTCAGCTGCTTTTGGTCCTTGTCGTAGGGGATAGGTCTCAAAAAGTGCTGCCCACCCCCATTCATTCACAACTATGGAGTTAGGTGGGGGATAGGAAAATAAAAAGTCAGAATCTTTAACGGGTATGTACTATTTATCTCCCCCTTCTACAGATCGGTGTAAGAGTGGCTGGCATCTGCTATATCATCTGAGGTAGATTCGTGAGAGCCTTATTTATAGGTAGGACCACTCTGGAGGGTGTTGCCAACTGCAAAATATCCTGCAACTTGTACTGCAGATCTTTGACCTCCTCCAGAGGGATTGATCCATAGGGTGTCAGCGAGGCGTCTAATGAGGTCCTGAAGCTGCCTGATGTCATATGCCATGGAAGGTTGTGGAGACATGGAGATGATGGCTAACTCATCTGCCCCAGACTCCTGCTCTTGAAATAACTCCTCCTGTCATGCTTAGCCAAAGAGAGAAGGAAAGGTTACTCACTGTGTGCAGTAACTGAGGTTCTTGGAGTCACGTGTCCCTGTGGATGCTCCACTTCAGGTATTGATGTGCCCCAGCAGCCTTGATCAGAGCTTTACAGTAGCAGTGTCCGGGAGGCTGTGGATGCAAAATTAGGGCTATGTCTAGACTACATCCCTTTTTCGAAAGAGGGATGTAAATTAGACAGATTGAAGTTGCAAATGAAGCCGGGATTTGAATTTCCCATGCTTCATTTGCATGATGGTGGCTGAGCGTTCTTTCGAAAAAGGGCTTTTTTAAAGTGAAACCATCTAGACACAGTTCTTTTGGAGAAAAAAACCCTTTTTCGAAAGATCCTGTAAATCTCGTTTTTTGAGTACAGGATCTTTCGAAAAAGGGTTTTTTTCCTCGAAAGAACTGTGTCTAGACAGTGGTTTCACTTTCAAAAGAACGCATGGCTGCCATTATGCAAATGAAGTGTGCGAAATTCAAATCCCAGCTTCATTTGCAATTTTGATCTGTCTAATTTACATCCCTCTTTCGAAAGAGGGATGTAGTCTAGACATGCCCTAAGAGTCTCACAGTGCCATTGATGCTGTGAGCTTTACCCAAGCCCACCAGTTCCTTTTCTATCACAAAGTCCCTACTGCAAACTCTGAAGTAGAGGGCAGGTGGAGCACCCACAGGGTGTTGAAGAAGATCAAGGTACCAAGCTTGTCTTGACCACTATGAGAATCATTATGGCCTTCTGCCTGATCTTGCTCATTGCTCCTAGAATTATGGGGATTGTAGAAGCATTTTGTAGTTTGCACAAATGTTGAGGTTCCATCCATATTCTGATGGAATGCAGAAATGACCACAAGATGGACTTTGATCAAGCTCCTTGCTAAACCTGAACTTTTCAACTCCAGTAGGTGTTCCAAGACTAATGGTAGTGGTGTGGTAGAGATCATCAAATGTCTTGACACCATGCAGAGAACCTCTTCCATTTCTAAACGTGAGTATTAAATGTGGTCAACTTCCTGGTGTTTAACAAAATGTGTTTAACTTGTTCTGAGTAGATTAGTTCATTATTATGGAACCATGCAGGAGACATGCTTGTAGGTAGAGTATCTCCAGGTTTGGATGAAGAGTATGATCATTATGCTGAGACAGCAGATCTGGATGGCAAGGGAGAACTCGTGGGGTGCCATGTTCATCATGCAACGGTACCATGTTTGGGCCATATCAAGACTATGCAAATAACTTTGACCCTGTCTGTTTGTATCTTGTGTATGATATCAGTGGAATTGGTGGAAACACCTAAATGAGTTATGCCTCACATTTGATAGTGATGCCCAGTGATCATGGCAACAATCCTGCTTGCGAACAGAAACCTGTGCATTTGTGGTTCACTAGAGATGCAAACAAGTGGATAATGGGAATGCCCCAATGGTTGAAGATTGATCTCAGAACCTCACCATTCACCCCCATTTTGTAGCCTTGGGAGAAGTATCAGGTGAGTGTGTCCACCATTGCATTCGGATGGCTGGGTAGATAGCATACTGTGAAGCTTATGTTGTGTTGTATGTACCAGATCCATAGTTGCTATGCAGTGAAGCCATGAAAGTGTGAATGAGCTCCTCCTTGGAAGTTGATGTAAAACATGCATGCAACATTGTCAGTAATGATGAGAATGGACTTGTTCTTTATATGAGGTAGGAAATGCCTGTCAGCATTGCAGACAGCTCTAATAAGTTAATGTGTAACAATCTCCACTTGAGACTGTTTGCCTTGAATCGTATGTTAATTTATGTGTGTGCCCCACCCTATCAGTGAAGCATCTGTGGTGATCACAGTCAATGAGGGTTCCTGTTGGAACAGGATACCCATAAAAAAGTTTTGTGTCCTTGTCTACCACTGTAAAGCATCCAGGACAGTGAGTGGTACTGAGAGTAATTTGTGTAGGTTGTTTGCTGGGTATGTGTTCCTATACTAGGCTTAACCATTCTTGCATGTTGCACCATGAATGTTGTGGCTGCCAAGTGTCCTGGTAGTTGTTGGACCATGCAAGCCCCTATTTGGGGACTGGCTTGTGCCTCTGAGAGAAGGTTTGTAAGAGTGGTGAATCTGGCTAGGGGCAGGGATGCCTTGGCTACTATGGTATCAAGATGTGCCCCAATGAAGCCTAGATGTTGGACCAGGATTACAATTGATTTCCATTCATTTATTTGTAACCCTAACTCCTGGAATAGTGAAATGGTGATCCAGACTATGTCCATAGTTTCTTGTCGAGTTTGGCCTCTGAGAAGGTAATCGTCCAGGTAAGGGAAGATCATAATTCCCTGTTTGCATTAGATATACCGCAACCACAGATTGGGCTTGGGAGAAAACTCTTGGTGCAATAGATAGGCTGAATACTCTGTACTGGAAGTGTTCCTGCAGACATTTCCTCTGCAAGGGATGAATAGTGATATGAAAATAAGTATCTCCGAGGTCAAAGGCTGAAAACTAGTTCTCCTGTTGGAGCACTGGGAGAACTGTGCCCAATGTAACTATTTTGAGTATTTGCAAGTGTACAAACTTGTTCTCCTGTTGGAGCACTGGGAGAACTGTGCCCAATGTAACTATTTTGAATATTTGCAAGTGTACAAACTTGACCTTTCTTAGGTTCAAGATAGGTCTCCATCCCCTGTTCTTCTTCTGGGTCAGGAAATAATGTGAATAGAATCCCTTCCCTTTGAATTGTGACAATATTTTCTATGACACTTAGTGGTAGAAGGTCTATTCTTTGTTGTAACACGTTTGTGAAATGTGTCCCTGTAGAGATAGGGAAGGCGGAGGTCTGGAAGCACAAGGGGATAGTATATCTCAACTGGAATCATTTTAACCCCATTGGTCCAATGTTATTGACACCGAGATGTGATAAAAGGGCTAAGTTAAATGACTGAAAATTGGGGATGGATTGGGCACAGGTGCTGTCTGGTGAGGGAGACAAATTCTTGACCAACTTTTCAAAACTGTGGTTTGGAGGAGCTGTCTGGGAATGTCAGCACCTGTGATTGGGGCATTTGTCAAAGCTGGAGCATTGTTGTTGCCAACCTCTAGTGTCAGTTTTCTTTGAGAAAAGCTTTTCTGGATTGAAAGGTAAATATTCTATCTTTTTCTGTAGGCCCTTGAGTATACTCAAGATCTGTAGTCAGGATGCCTGGCACATTACTATAGCTGTGGTCCTTGGCTGCCATATCTAGTGGCTAGTGACTTTTGGCTGTTTTGGCTATCAGTTGACTTCCACTGATGATGCTTGAAATTGTGACACTCTCCTCAGGGAACTCTGCTGTGAACGAGCTAAGTTTCCCATAGTTATTATAGCCTTATTTTACCAATAATGCAGAATATTTGGCCATTTTGAATATTAGGGTACCTGAAGAATATACGAGCTAAGTTTCCCATAGTTATTATAGCCTTATTTTACCAATAATGCAGAATATTTGGCCATACACTTCATGCCCAAATAGATCTAGTCTCATGTTTTTTCTCCTGTGGTGTGATTTGAACTCTGGTTGTTTGAAGAGTTGATTCAAGCATCGACTACTAAGAAGTTGGGGGCAGATATGCAAAGAGAAAGTCTGCCGATTGCGAGGGTTCATAGTACTTTCTATCAATCCTTTTACATGTTTGTGGAATTGAGGCTGGTGACTGCCAAATGGTCTCTACTGGATACAAGATTGCATTGTTGAGATGAAAAGCGATCTCGGAAGTAAATACTTATTGCAGTATTTGTACCAGCTTGTGCTGATTTCTCAGCATCTCCACAGGTGGGATGTCCTAGCTGTGAGCAACCTCCTTAAACAGTTTCTGAAACTCTTAAAATCATCCACCAAAGTGGGCAGTTGATGCATAATAGCCTCTTCTGGGGAAGTAGAAAGAAGATGTAGTTTCTTGGTCTGTATTAATTTGTATGTTCTCTCCTAATCCTGAGCCTCCATGGGTGGGATGTCCTCTGTAGCCTGTTGAGGAGCCCTCGTTGTATTGGACTATTGGCGCATGCAGTGCTGATATCACAAAGTCTTTCCGGTATATCAAAGACCGTATCAGAGCCAATGTCCGGTCTGTTGGTGCTCTGGGGTCTGCTGCTCTTGTCCATGCTGGCATCTGTGCCGACTGATGCTGTGACTGTTCAGACGGTGCAGATGGTGCTGATGTGTTTTTCTCCATTGAAGCCCTCTGCGTTGTTGGTGCTGAGGGTGGAGTCATGATGCCTGAGGAGATGCTCGGTGCAGAGTCCCATGCTGGTGAACTCGGCGCTGTGGAGGCATGTCTTTGTCTGTGCCTCAACTGCCTTTCCTTTGCTTGGATCTCAGTAGTGCTGGAAGTGCCTGGTGTGCCAAAAAATGCTTATGGGAGCATATTTCAGCATCTGGGGTCACAACCTGGCAGGAGTCCACCTTTGTATTTGCAATGCTCATTGTGAAGAAGTCTGAGCCCTCTTTTCTTGGTCTTTTAGGGGGTACATCTCCCTTCCCCATTTGGAGGAGTGTCCGGAGAAGCAATTTGCTTGTCTGACTGTGGTGATTTCTCCATTAAGATCATTTTTAACCACAGAACCCTATTAGGTGGGCTCTCGCTTTCAAATGTATGCAGTAGGAGGGATATGCCCCTCACTCAGATAGAATACACACAATGAGCACCCATCTAAAATGGGCATAGCTTTGGGGCAGGAGCTGAAGTGTATGAATTTTGAGTAACCAGGCATCTTAACAGTAACCATCCCCCGTAAAGGTGCTAACAATATAAAACTTTTTTCCAATAAACTATAACTTTGTGATAAATTAACAACAACTTTCAATCTAATTAAACTATGTTTCAGGGGGTAGCCAAGTTCGTCTGTACAGGATAAACTTTAAAAACAACTAATGGTCTGGTAGCACTGTATAGACTAACAAAACATGTAGATGGTATCATGAGCTTTCGTGGGCACAGCCCACTTCTTCAGATGACCGGACTTTCTGAAGAAGTGGGCTGTGCCCACGAAAGCTCATGATACCATCTACATGTTTTGTTAGTCTATACAGTGCTACCAGACCATTAGTTGTTTTTAAAGTTTATCCTGTACAGACGAACTTGGCTACCCCCTGAAACTCATGTTGCTAATGTTTTTAGGGAAAAGTGGTAACACTGCCTTAGAGCTCCATCTTCAGCTGATAACAGCTGAGAAGGAAATAGAGAGCCCAGGTCATATGTGTGTCACAAGCAGCACCAATGGCACTGTAAGATGGTTACTACATGTGTGTCCTATTCGGACACTGCTACTGTAAGCCTCTGATCGACAGCACTAGGATGTACCAACACCTGAAGTAGAGCACCTGCACTGACAGCACTCCAAGAATAATGTGAAACTCCAGCCTCTTTGAGGGATGATAGACTGTTAAATTGCTGTCAATAGGCAGCCCACAGGTCCCAATATGGCCATTGTGAGGGTCCAATAAGAAAGCAGGTTCCACCAACATTGGAGCAAGATCCTCTCTGCAAAAAAGGCAAATTCCCAAAGATATGTGTGGGAGAATACGCCTCAGAAATTGACAAGGCTGACTGGGAGTCCTTTTCCTCCACATGGGGGCAATGAGGTTGAATGGTTACTTAGAGACTGAGATCTTGATACCCAGAGATGCTCGGCACCTGATAAAGACAACTCTGGATCTTCCAACATCAAGATGTCCTTCAAATATAGGAAGAATTAGAAGCCCTGACCTAGTCAGAGAAATATGATTTGATTGGAATAACGGAGACTTGGTGGGATGACTCACATGACTGGAGCACTGTCATGGAAGGGTATAAACTGTTCAGGAAGAACAAGCAGGGGAGAAAAGGAGTTGCACTGTATGTAACAGAGCAGTATGATTGCTCAGAGCTCCAGTATATATAGAGGGAGAAAAGCCTGTTGGGGGTCTATGGGTTAAGTTTAGAGGTGGAAGCAACAAGGGTGTCTACTATAAACCGCCGGATCAGGTGGATGAGGTAGACAAGGCTTTCTTCAGACAACTAAGAGAATGCTTCCAGATCACAGGCCCTGGTTCTCATGGGGGACTTTAATCACTCTGACATCTGTTGGGAGATCAATATATCAGTACACAGACAATCCAGGAACATAAGAATGGCCATACTGGGTCAGACCAAAAGTCCATCCAGCCCAGTACTCTGTCTGCCGACAGTGGCCAAAGCCAGGTGTCCCAGAGGGAGTGAATCGAACAAGTAACGATCAAGCGATCTCTCTCCTGCCATCCATCTCCACCCTCTGAGAAACAGAGGCTAGGGACACCACTCCTTACCCATACTGGCTAATAGCCATTTATGGACTTAACCTCCATGAATGTATCTAGTTCTCTTTTAAACCCTGTTATAGTCCTAGCCTGCACAACCTCCTCAGGCGAGGAGTTCCACAGATTGACTATGCGCTGTGTGAAGAAGAACTTGCTTTTATTTGTTTTAAATCTGCTGCCCATTAGTTTCCTTTTGGTAGCCCCTAGCTCTTGTATTATGGGAACTAGTAAATAACTTTTCTTTATTCACTTTCTCCACACCACTCATGATTTTATAGACCTCTATCATATCCCCCCTTGGTCTCCTCTTTTCCAAGCTGAAAAGTCCCAGTCTCTTTAATCTCTCCGCATATGGGACCTCTTCCAAACCCCTAATCATTTTAGTTGCCCTTCTCTGAACCTTTTCTAATGTCAGTTTATCTTTTTTCAAATGAGGAGACCACATCTGTACGCAGTATTCAAGACGTGGGCATACCATGGATTTATGTAAGGGCAATAAGATATTCTCCATCTTATTCTCTATCCCTTTTTCAATTATTCCTAACATCCTGTTTGCCTGGACGTCTTCAGAGAACTAGCCACGATGATGCCAAGATCTCTTTCCTGATTAGTTTGTAGCTAAAACCAGGATGTTTTTGAAGAATGTTGGGGATAACTTTCTGGTACAAGTGCTGAAGGAACCAATCAGGGACCATGCACAGCTTGACCTGCTGCTCACAAACAGGGAGGAACCAGTAGGGGAAGTAGATGTGGTTGGCAACTTGGGAACCAGTGATCATGAGATGGTAGATTTCAGGATCCCGACAAAAGGAAGAAAGGAGAGTCGCAAAATACACACCCTGGACTTCAGAAAAGCAGATTGACTCCCTCAGAGAACTGATGGGCAGGATTCCCTGGGTTGCTAACATAAAGGGGAAAGGAGTCCAGGAGAGCTGGCAGTATTTTAAAGAAGCCTTATTGAAAGCACAGGAAGAAGCCATCCCGATGCACAGTATTGAAAGCAAATATGGTAGGCGACCAGATTGGCTTATTGGGGAAATCCTTGGTGAGCTTAAACACTAAAAGGAAGCTTACAAGAAGTGGAAACTTGGACAGATGACTAGGGAGGAGTATAAATATATTACTTGAAACTGCAGGGGGATTATCAGGAAGGCAAAAGCACAGTTGGAATTACAGATAGCAAGGGATGTGAAGAGTAACAAAGGTTTCTACAGGCATGTTAGCAATAAGAGGGTGATCG